GTCACTTATGGCTCAACCTTAAGTATTCTTTGACTTGTCTTTTCAAGTAACTATTCAAATATTCTTTCAACAACAAGCCTCTCCAAGCTTAACAACCAAGTATTCTTTTACAAATAAGTCTCTCTAGGCTCAAAACAAGTATTCTTTTATAGACAAGCCTCTTTGGGCCCAAAACAAGTATTTTTTTTTACAGATAAGTCTCTTTAGACTCAACAACCAAGTACTTCTTTTTTTTTTTACAAACAAGCCTCTCTTGGCTCAACCTTATAGCAATAGTTATAAAGATTACTCAAATGTTGTGTTCGTCTGACTTAGACATTATACAACCAATTACATAGCAATGAATGTATACAAGAAAAAATAGATTTTTAGAGAGTATTTTTTTACAAATGTATATCTATCAATTACAATTAATGTCTTTCTTGTGAATTTTTTTTACTTCTTTATGAATCTTCTTATATAGTAGCCTAGAGAAGATGACCGTTGCAACATTTTGAGTCCAGCTCACAAGTTTGCTTTGTTTGTCTTCATCATCTTCCCTTGTGGTGGTAGACAACCATTTGACACATTTAATATAAGCATTAAATGCATTTCACAAAATAGTATCTCTTATTTAATCAAGGAGGCTACTTGTCAACTTTTCATACCAAACGGAGCCTGTAGAAGCAATGTCAGCATAGAGCAACTATAATAGTGACTTATCTATTTTTCTTCGTGATTTTAGGGATTTGGTTCTGGTGAAAAACATGGTTCTTATCTTTAAAAAATTTGTGAGTTTTGAGACAATCTTTTGATTTAACCTGTTAAGGAATGAAACATTCAAAGCAAACTTTGTCATTAATCTCAATAAATGATAAATATTTAATGTATATGAGACAAACTATATGCTTTATTTGATTAATAATCGTCTTATACATGATTTTCATCTTACAGATGATTTGCGTCTTACATTTCATCTAATAAGCCTTTCAAAGATATGTTTCAAAAGACATTTTCGTAGACGTTTCTTGTATATAAAAATGCTTTATTTGTTAGTATTAAAACTCTAAATTTAGGGGATCATCTTTTGACTTAAAATTCCTTCTTTAACGAATGATGGTAAAAACGTGAAAAACTTTGTATTATGGTCACCAAATTGAAACCATATGCATCTAGACATCTGGAGCCAAAGGATCTCCTCACGAAAAAGCATTTCTTCAAGCTCGGTCAACGAATCAGCCTAAAAATTAAACAAGAATAGGTTAGGAGAAATTTATAAATTTCTACTAATACCATCTAGTCTCCTTAACAAAGATTTTTTCTAGGTAGAAATAAGTCCAAAAATGTTCCTATTCCAGGGTTTGAGCTTCTTAGTGAAGGTGAAGAGATTGTGTTGCCAAGGGCTCAAATTATCCTAACTATGTCAGACAAAATCATGGAAGCCCCTATGAGAAATCCACACCACCTTGAATCTAAAAGGTCTTCTAACTTTATTTGGATTGGTGAAGGACTTAAAGCTAATAAGCAATGAATGATGATTAGAAGAAAAGAGGGATAGATGAAAAATCGAGGCTTTTGGGAAAGGGATACACTAGTCTTGATTTATAATGGCTCGATTCAACCTCTTAAGCAAGTCACCATTGCTCCAAGTGAAAGGGAACCCCTCAAAACCTGCATAAAAAAGTGGCAATTATGGATAGTCTCATTAAAGGTAAAAGAGTCAATTGTTAACCTAGTAGCAACTCCCCATTCTTTTCATGGGTGAAGATAAAAGGAGTTGAAATCCCCTTCCACAATTTAGGCCTTGTCCCCAACAGACATGGCAATATTAGTGATCTTTAACCACAAGTCCCTCCTCAAGTTTCCTTGAAGTCAACCATAAATAGCTGTAAATAACCAAGGCTTTTTTTTCTTAAAAGAAACTGAGGTGAAATGTTTGGAGAGAAGAAGAAATGAATTGGGAGTCCTAGAAATCCTCTTTCCAGAGGCACCAAATACCACCCGCTTGGCATATGGCATCAACGTTCAACACCTTATTCTCATGGGTGTAGAAAAAGATATAAAATAAATCAATGAGACTAAAAATGAAAAAAAAAATAGTAGTGTATATAGCTTATTTTTATAAACTATTTGAAGTAACTTATGAAAATAAACTAAAAGGCTACAAAGATAGTAAAGCAAACCAACTATTTTTGGTCAAGCTAGCTTATAATCACTTTTAATGTCTTATTAAACACATTCTTAGTGAATGGGCTTCAAAGCTTCCTTTTCAAATAGCCTACTTAGTAAGGAGGTAGAGTCATGGTTAAAGAGGGCTAGCCAACATGTTATCATTGTTTTAAAAAAAAAATTTCCTCAACTAGCCACAAAAATATTTTCAACTTGATCTCAAAGTAATTTCTAATCAGTATTGCTCAAACTACTTTCAACTTGACCTTGATTAAAGTAATTTTGACTCAAATTTGCCTAAAGTATCTTCAACTTAATCTTATCTAGAGTATCTTCACCTTAACCTCAATTAGAGTATCTTCATTTCAATCTTACCTAGTGTATTTTAAATTCAGCCTTGTCTAAAGTAGCTTTAACCCAACCTCGGCCATTTTATATTTAGCTTGATCTCTATTAGAGTATCTTCATCTCTACCTCAACCAAAGTAATTTCAACTTGGTTAGAGTAAATTAAGGTTGGTCCCAACCAAAGTTTTTTCATCGTGGCTTTAACCAGAGTATCTTTAGCTCAACCTCTTCCTAATCATCTTGACCCTAGCCCTATCCAAGGAATATTCATCTTGGCCTAAGTAGAGTTCATCTAGGCTTTAATCATGGTATATTTATATCAACCTTAGGGCAACTTTAGCTTGACCTTAGGACATTTTTAGCTCCACCACAACTAGAGTACCTAAAACTCAACCTTAGCCAATGCAACCTTGATCAAGAAATCTTCAACTTGACCTTGCTCTAAGCCATTTTAGCTAGGTTTCAAGTAGGGCATCTTTAGCTCAACCTTGACCAAAGTAACTTCAACTCGAGTTTTACCATGACATCTCCAACTTGTCCTCAACTAGGACATCTTGAGCTTGACTTTGGCCACAAAATATTTGGCTCGAACTTGACCATGGCATCTTCAACTCAGCCTTAGCCATGGTATCTTTAGGTTAGGCTCATCCATTGTATCTTTAAATCAGCCTTAGCCAAAAACATCTCAAACTTGATCTTAGGAACATATTCAACTTTTCCCTAGGTAAAGCATTTTTAGCCCAACCTTGACCAGAACATCTTCAACTTAGCTTGAAGTCAGAATATTAAAATTAATGCCCATGGTTGGCTCTAACCCATAGAACCATGTGATCCATTTGGCCTTTGTTTATTTTTTAATGTGTGCTTTTTTCATCATGTCTTCTATTTGGCCACCTTAATTACTCTAACACCTAAGTGATGAAGTATTCCAACATATTAACAGTATGGTAAAAGTAGAGAACATGAACATGAGAATACCTAAAGACGATCATTTATAAAGAGGTAGGGTTTGACATAAAATGTGACTAGATTATTAGGACACAATGGATTTTATTAGGATATTCCATATATAAAACATATTTAGGTATGCAAAGCGTGACTTGGTCAACACTTTTGTTAGTTAAGCTCTTAGTTTTTAATATCATGGATTGAAGCTCAACACTATTATTAAGTGTGAATGTGTTAAGCTAATATGCCAATAAGCATTAAATGTCGATTGGTAAGGGATATTACAATCATAGGTTAGGGCTTAGAATATTTTTCCATAACATTTTCCCCCATGTTAGTATAAAGCTAGAGCTTTGTGTCGATTTTCATTTGTTTTGAGATGTTTCTCTACAACATTTTCCATTTAGAGTATCCTTCTAATATGTCCATTGAGAAGAAGGAACACTCAATGATATTTACATTTCAAATCTCCATTTAATGCATGGGGGACTCTATATGGTTCATGGTGTGGGGTCTTGATTCTAAAGATGAGAAAAAAAGGTCAATTGTCATGTCTTTAACAAAAATTTGTTGCTTTATTTGATGTTTGGTGTTATTTTTCTTAGCATTCCTTCTTTTGTTTTGTTTTTGTACTTACCTTGACATTTGAACTTTGTTATGGTTAGAGACTATACTTATATATAATAAATCTCACTTTTCATTAAATGCTAAGATATTCAAAACGTTTTAAGGAGTGAGTGATGTCATTGATGCATGAAACATTTAATTATACATTGGACTTAAGGTTTTTATCAGACATTTATTAAAAATCATTTTAGAAACAAAAGCATAAGACCTTTTTGAAAAAAGTTTTATTTAATACTTTTGGACAATATAATTTAAACAAAACATGAAAAATTTAAATTAACAAGTGCATTGGATACTTTTTATTAAAACAATGATTTTGTCTTCATCAAAGATACAATGTTTATACCTTTTTGCTTAATATTGAAAAAATATTTATATTGCACAGGTAAAGTAAATTAGTTAAATCATCAAAATATAATAATATTTGTTATCATTAAAACTATAGGATATTTAGGAGATAAACATTTCAAATGTCTTTGGTTCCAACAAATACACCGCATTACTTTATTTTGACAAATAATACAATATTTAAAATATAAATAATTCATTATTAGATAATATATTAACAAATGTTTAGATCACTAGGGTCAGCCTAGTGGTGGAAAGTTTGGAATAGTATACACAAGGTCTTATGTTCGAACCTTGGTGTCATCAATCTAATTCTAATGGATCAAAAAAAATATTAACAAATGTTTGATTTAATTGAAAATTGAAATAAATGACCAAAATGATAATTAATTAGTTCAATGATTTAATTAGTTAATTTCATATTTTTATTTTTTGTATAGGTATTCTATATAAATTTATTAAACAATATATGTATAAAAGTTTGAAACTTATTATTGATTAATCTTTTCCCAATAATTGTTGAGTTGAGTTACGCTCTTAATTTCAAATTCAAATATTTGATATGATTTACATTTCTTGCAGAGACTTGTCATACAATAATTTATCAGGGACTCTTCCTTCTTGGGTAAACCAACAAAATTTACAACTGTAAGTTTGTTTTATTTTTCAACCTTCTTATATATCAATTTTTGATAATTTAATAAGTCCTAACATTTCTTTTAAACTTGTGTTAGCCATTTGCACTGCATATGAACCTTATTTATTTCATTTTATATCTATTTTTTATTTAGTTTATTATATCAATAAATATTGCAAAATACATGGCAATGAATATATACACGATAAACACTTATAATTTTTTATCTAATCATGAGTGGTTTAATTGGTAAAAACAAATTCACATCATAAATAAAAGACATTGGTGAGAACATATATATATATATATATATATATTGTGTATGTGCGTGTGAATAAAAGATATTGATATTAATAAAAAAAATACAAAAATATAGAGATTCAAAATTGTAACTCACTTGGTGACAACTAACTAATTTATCATAATTAATAAAAAACTAAACTAGTAGTAAAATACATAAAAATATGTCCTAACACCCCACCTCTCAAATTGAAAAGTGGATAAATAACACTCCCAACTTTGACATCAAATGTTGAAAAATGGTTAGCTCCAAAGGGTTAGTAAAAAAATGTCAACTATTTGGTGTGAAAAAGATATAGGTAGTAGAGGAAACTACTTGGATTGTAAATTTTCATAAGTGATGTGATAATTAATGTCGATGTGCTTGGTAATTCATAGAAATTAGGATTAGATTCGATATGTCATACGGATTGACTGTGACAATATAAAAGAGCAAGAGTAACATGCAAAACCTAAATGTCCTACCACAAGTGTCAACTATTGAAGTTTAGAAATAGTGAAGGCAAGGTGCAATATTATAAGTTAGAAGAGGAATGAGAAAATGTTGTCTACTACTTACACTTCCAAGAGACCATATATGAGCCAAAAGAAAATATAGTGACTAATAATAAAGTGACGAATATTTAGACATGTAGCCCAATTTGAGTCACTAAAGGCTTTCAATTGTAAAGTAGAATCAACAGATAATAATAATCTTGGAGTTGGGAAGGCTTTAATGTAATGAACAATATAAAGAGCAACATCCAAGTGATGTTGGGTAGGAAATTGCATAAACTAACTTAGATGCTAAATAACAAAGGATTTTTTTTGTCTTATCGTGGTTAAGTATAATAGCCTATCAATGAGCCTTCCATAGAAATTTGGGTCCCAAGGAGCAATAGCATCGCATAATAATTTGTACCCTTTGCTCATAAAAGTGGAACAGGGTTTCGAAGCTAGAATCCTAGACTTAGAAAGAACGTATAACATATTTGCATTAGTAGATATGAATTCCTTTTGTAGTGCGAGGCACTTCAAGTCCTAAGAAATACTTGAGTTTACCAAGATCCTTGATTTTAAATTTGTTTTGTAGAAGCTCTTTTACAAATGCTATATCACTAGGTGAGTTTTCAATAATAATAACATCATCCACATATGCTAAAAGGAGCCATGTTTCTTAGTTAAGAAAGCGTAATCGTAGGTAGAATGAGATAAACCAAAAAGAATGACAACTTAGCAAGCCATTGCCATCTCACTTGTTTAAGAAATAGAGGAAATTGACAGGGCAACACACTTGATTAGGAAAAAATGGAATAAGTCCTTGTGGTAATTCCAAATGACATGTATTACATACACTATTTCTATTTATTTTGACATAAGGAAAACTTGTACAAAATATATCAAGAACCTTATTGGATGGATAGCCTAAATCTTAAATGCTAAATATCATTTACATGTATAGAATCAAAATTAGCAATAAGGAAAAAAGAAACAAAATTTGCCCTTGGTCTTTTTATATGATACAACCCATTATACAGTTTAACATGCCCAATCATCTTCAATGAAGGCATGTCCTATATATCACAATAAGATTGATAAAAAGTGAGCTTGTTGTTTAAGGAAGAGATGAGTTATAGAATAGAAATTATATTTAATGTAATAATTTACCATTATAACAATTCCATTTAGAAGATTAACATGTGAATGTTTAATAACATGAAAAAGTGACTGAAAGGGATGACTAGTGTGTAACATGATCAGTAGCATCACTATATATCAAGAATTCAAGAGTGGTAAATTTTGAGATTGATTTTCCTAAAGAAGGATATTGTTGATGGATTGAAGACTCACTTATAATGCTTGAATTCAGTTAACATACTATATGAGAAGTTTGAATGTTGGAATGTTGCAATGTTGTGATTGTTGTAGCTATTTAGGTTCAAACTAAGCATTATTGGTTTCTTTTTGAACATTTTGGGACCAAAACTTGATCTCTTGAAACTGACTTTGTTCTTCCTTGGGTACATAATTTTGTGGACAACAAAGTTACCTCCTTGCTTATATTGCATAGCAAAGTCGTGGTTGAAGTAACATTGAACAATTGTATGACCAAACTTATTGTAGTAAGTGAACTGTTTGGTTATATAGTTTCATCTTCCTCTACATGAAGTTCCTTCTCTCCTATACCAAAACTTTTGGTGCCTCTTCCTTTACAAAAATTACCATTACCTTCCTTTATGTCCTCCAATTTCCTTGACTGCTTTGTTGGTTTGAAGAATTCAAAAGGACCTTTGAATTACTACTTTCTTTTATTGGGTTTGTTTTTGCAAAACAGTAGCATAAGCCTAGTTGATAGATAAAAATGGCTTCATCATTGATATATATATTTGACTTAACAATGTTGTAAAATCACTCTAAGCCCTTTAAAAAACATATACTTTCTTTTCTTTCTTGTCCTTTCAAAATTGATTTGATTAAATCATTGGTACACTTAATTAAACATGAACAATATGGGCTAGAAATCAACATATCTAACTCATCCTACAAAATTCCCAATTCTATAACATAATCGGTCACACTCTTTTCTCCTTGAGGGAGTCACTTGTTGAAGTCAATTTGAAATTCTAAAGTAGTCCCCTTTTATGAATCTTTCTTTTAATTCATTCCACAATTTCTTGGAATTATCTATGTAGATTATGCTTTGTGAAATTTGAGGAGAAAGAGATCTCGTAATCTATGAAACAACCATAATATAGCACCTTTGTCATGCCCTATAATTGATATCATCCTTATTAAGTATTGGCAGCGTGTCATCAATAAATTCCAGTTTGTTTTTAAACTATAGTGCTCTAAAAATAGCACAACTCTACGTGTGATAATTAATTTGATTTAAAGCAGGATAAAAAGAATTATACTTGAACTTTCTCCAAGTTGGAAATAATATGGACTCAATGCATTATGCAATTCATTTTCTTAAGAAGTCTTCTTCTTGCATTGTTTAACTTTTGGGTCTTTCATATTCAAAATCTTAGATCAAGTTGAATAATGAGTAGAGTGGTATTTATGAAGAAAAATATTCATGAAAGTGAAAACAATGTTGTGCTTGAAGCTAAGAAAATTATGTGAATTAAGGAAGGGAAGAAACATCTTTTTCATAACTTGAAATTGAGAACTTGTGGAGTAGAAGCAAAGATGAAGTTGCTCTAATACCTTATTGGATTTATGAATAAAAAGCATGGGTATTAATCAATAAGGAAAATACAAATATATAGGGGTTCACGGTTGTAACCCACTTGGTGTTAGCTAACCAATTTATCATAATTAACACAAACCTAAACTAGCTATAAAAATACATAAAAATATGTCCTTACAAATATATGTGTGTGTGTGCGTGCACATGTCTATGTATCTTTGATTTTGGCAACCTAATAATTTAAATTGAATATGTGAAACTATTTGTATATTTTAATTCCCTTTTCTCCCCTACTTAGTTTTTTTTTTAATTTTAGTTTTATTATCTGTACGTAGCATTCTTATTTGTAAAAAAAAGATTCCCAATTTTGTTTCCATAAATATTCCTATAAACTTATAGCACAATATCTTAAGCACAAAACATATAAGTAGCAAATGATTAGAAAACTAAATGTAAAATTGATATAAAAAGAAAAATAATGTTTGTTAAAGTGATTAACCTTAACCAACAAGTCGTTGATCCAAGTAGTACTAGATTTGGTCCCTTTAAGCTCGAGTCTTATGTATGTAAAAATGTGGTTAGGAGGGGAGACCTTACTAAAAGGGATTAACCAAGTTCCGTAACAGATATTAGTCATTGGCAAAGCTACTAGGTACTTCGTACTAATAATATGATTAAAAAAATGGTTCACCTTTGTAAAAGAGAAAAACTAGTGAAAATGAAGTTCAAGTTTCTATTGTTTTTTCCCTTGAGCCATTACAAAATAATAATAAATTAAATTCAAGTTATATTTACATTTCAAGTTTTGAAAATTGTACAACTGACTAATTGTAGTTTGTTTAATTTATTATGTTTTTGCTATATAGTCAAATGAAACAAATATTGAGATATTTTGTGTTATGATATGCAGCAATTTAGTTGCCAACAAATTGACAATAGAGAATTCAAATGGCAGGTGATTTTTTTCTCATCAATAATGATGATTATTTTAATGATTATTGAAAAATATTTTGTAACTAATTTTTTTCTTTTCCGAAATGGAGTGATGTTTGATTAATATTTAATCAATTAGTCCCAGTTTATGGTAAGAATTAGATAATCATTGGATGGTTGTACATCTTATTTAGAATATTTTAGCAATTTTAAGGTTTATCTTAAAAATTATTTTCAAATATAAAATTAGTCAGTTTTATTAGTTTATTTACATTGATTATGTAGTACTAACTTCAACATTAGCTCTTAAGAATGGTACAATTTCATTTGATCTTGTACCTATATAATTCTAATCCAGGATTTCTTGGTCTCATATCTCTCCTTGATATCTTATGACATAATTGTTCCACACAGTGCTTATAATAGATATTGTTATTGTTGAAAGCCATATGCATATTTTTCTAATTACCAAACATGTTTTCTTTTCTAGATTACCTTCTGGACTCGACTGTTTACAAAAAAATTTCCCTTGCAACCGTGGTATTGGAAGATGTAAGTATGGATTTAATCTTAGTTTACTTAACTTGCTCTAAATTCATATGGAAAAATGATCTTCATTTTTATTAATTACTACTATTTGTCTTTAAGCAAAAACATTTGTTCTTTTTTAACTTAACTTTACGGCAACACTCAAAGTTGTTAAGATGTTTCACTTTGATTAAGAATATGACTAAAATATTTTCCATAAAACTTAAGTATACTTTTCCCTTAACACTAGGGTTGGCCTAATAGTGAGGGTTGATATAGTATGTAAATGGTCATAGATTTGAACCTTGTTGTCATTATTTTTGTCTTTTATATTGATAAAAGTAAAATAAAAAACTTTCCCTTCAAGTTAGCTTATTACAATGTTGGTCCGTTTTAAATATTTAATCAAATATAACATATATCCTTAATGCATATTTTTTATATAAGTAGTACTAATTAATTAATTCTTTTAAGTAATTCTCAGTTGTACAACCTCATACCTGTACAAATATTTGGATCCCTCTCATTCTAGTATGTCTAGGCTATTACAATGACATTTTTTTTACCAAAACCAACAAAGAAAATGTTACTTTTATGTCAGTTATGGTCATAAATGACATAAGAAATATTGTTTTTAAATAACCTATACTACTTTCCTTTCTATTAATTTATAAAAGGACAATTAAGCAGTTCAATATATATAGTACAGGATTGACAGTTAGCAATCCTATATAATATATTATCAATTTAAATATATTAAAAGTATAAATGAATTAATTAAACTACACACACACACACACACATATATATATATATATATATATATATATGTGTGTGTGTGTGTGTGTGTGTGTGTGTATGTATATATATATATATATATATATGATAAAATTTATAAGGTAAGCTATATATTAAAACTCATTAGGTGTAAACATCATAACTGATGTAAATTACATAAACATAAGCATGTTTTCAACTAAAATAAACGTAACAACCATTTACAAGATATCATAAATAGTCAAAAAAATATGAAGTCCGCTGTGTGTGGATGTCTTTCAAGTCTTCCTCCGTGAATGGACATGGGTTGTTGAATATATACAAAAATTCAAATTAGAGATAAATTAAATATTACTTGATCAAGAAATACTCATATGACATTTAATAAGTAACTTGATTTTTAAATGTACATGAGTCAACAATAATTCTATAGATAATTGAGAGCATTTGCTTCATCATATAATATTCGCACTCATGGTTATTAAATTGTATTGGGCACTACAAATTGAATATATACAATCAAAATGTATTTTAATTTGTTTTTGAATGTTAGTTTAACAATTAGCTTACATTTGGCTCAATATATGTAAGCTTCCTCTGAGATACAAGTATATGATTTGGAATGGAAAGTCAATAAATAGCTGATACATCCACAAGGATCAATTGAGACATACTACGATGACCTCTAAGGGTTGTGGTGGGAAATTGATTTCCACTGATCAAACCTTATGACTTGTAAAATTGATATTTGAAAATTCAATTTGACTATTCAAAGGAAAAAGTTTACTACTTCCTTGATGCCTTGGATGATCGGTTGGATAGGGTTTACGAAGACGTACTACAAATTAAGTCATTTCCCATAGTTAAATAGAAATACACTTTTGTTTGAAGTGAATATGTATGGAAGAGTTGAGGAACATCTTTACATGTACTGTACTTGCATTGAAGGGAGAACTTCAATAGGTTGGACAAACTAGAGAACCGAACCACTCTAACCAACTATTATATTTCAAATTGATGTTGCATGAACTTGGTTACAATGCAACTAGTGAACATTTTGCAAGACAAGAGACATTGTCTTCTAATTCAAGGTTTGGGTTAGGTAATGGTAAGACAAACAAGCCAAAGTCTCAAACTGATAGCATGGTGTATACACATTGTAGGAATGCTAAACGCACACATGATACTTGCTTTAAATTACACGAATATCTTAATTAATAAGATAAATATAAGGCCCAAAAATCACTTGAAGCTATTTCCAAAACTTGGTTGGGATTTGTTGTTGTTACATATGCAGAACCACAACTATCATCATTACCAAACATGATTAAGAATTATGGATAAATAACTTAGCACAACTGAACATATGATACATGATTCTAGTGGCTTTATCAATTCTACACTACTATATGCAAGAGACATTCAATGTCGATTATTTTCTAAATTCTATGTTGACTCAGGATATGACATAGATCCCAATGACCTAGAATGGCAAAATATTTTGTGATGGGTGTTGACCACCCGACATAGAATGTTACATTTTTTATGTCAGGTGGTCAACATCAATCATAGTATGGGTACCAAATGTGATGATTTAAACACATTGACACTCGTGTTCTATGATGAATTTGGTCAAATTCGTCATAGAATATGCAATTTTTTTTAATGTCATTCATTTTTTGAATTTTCCCAAACCTATACAACAAAAATACATTCCAAGAAATTTCAAAACAACATATTGTTGTCTAGTTCAATACAAACCTATATAAAATACAATATCTATCATTTAAATTGAAATAATGTATAAATTAAACTACATAGCAATGGAAGAGAGATAACAATAAAGTTAAAGTTAACAATAACTGTCATTAATTAATAATAATATACACAAATAAAACTAAAAATATATACCCAAATATGTACCAAGAGGATAAAACTAAAACATGAATATCTAGCCAATGTACACAAATAAAACTAAAACAATGTACAAAAACATAAATCAAACCTCAAATTGACTCAAAAAAAAAAAGTGGATGTCCATCTTTTACAGATATTTACCAAGTCTTTATGAGAAAATGAAGTTGAATATTTTAATAATTAAAGAATGAAATTGTTATTTGTTTCATTAATATATATATATATATATATATATATAAAGAACCCACAAAGATTGAAAGTAGATAATTACGAGCCAATGAAGTGTTTAGCAGGCAACTCAATAGTTTTCTTGTGTAGTTCACATGAGAGAACTACAAGAAATTGACTCAATATTATAACAAGTAGCTACCAATGTGCACTATATTTTGTATATTATTAGAAATTGTTAAGTTATTGTAAACTTTAAATAAAATACAATACAAGTACTTAACCATTCAAATAAGGTGCTAAGTACGCCTTTATTCCTCCTAGCCTGCATAGGTCGATGAAATGCTGCTTCACATTAATGCCTTTATTTCAAACACTCTGGATGGCAATTAGGTCTATGAAACCATAATAAAAAACACTTAGCATCTCCATAAAGATGTGATGAAGAGACCTATAATTATGTACACAAAAATAATATTAGGAATCTGTAATTGAATAAATTAAGATAAAAAAACAATTACAAATAATACTCACTTAAGTGTTACCTTTGAGAAGCATTTCACTCAACAACTTTAGAAATTCTTTAAAGCTTTTATTAGTTCATCTAATTTTTGCCTTAAGAATGAATAATCTTAATATTGCGGACAATTGTGTAAAATTAGAGTAGTCTTGATACAAAGGTTTCTCTATATTGCTACATAAACTATCATACATATATGTGCATTTGAAATATATGGATTTAGTGGAGGTTGATTTTGGATTTACCCAGGGTTAAAACCACCATTAATGACATTACTTGCGGTTGCACTTTCTGCAGCCAAATTTTTCGTTGGTAATGTGTTACCAGCGGTTTTAGCGAACCCCGGGTAAATTCACATGTTTCCGGCAGTTTTAAAACCCTGATTAATTACCAAAGGATTTAAAACCCCAGTTAATTACTAGTAGTTTTAAAACCCCATTTAATTACTAGCGATTTTAAAATCCTGGTTAATTTCCAGCATATTCAAATTCCCAAATGATTGCCCAGGGTTTTAGAACCCTAGTTAATTTCTCGCAGTAAACCTTTGACAGTTAGATGAGGTTTTCTATTAAATAATAAAGGTCAATAATCTTATCATGGTGCTGCACTTGTCTGCAGTCTTTAACTCCCAATAATTGTTAAGGTTCAATTACTATAAAATATTTGTGAAATGAGTTATTTAACCTCATCATTATCATTTTTATTTTAACATTTATTTCTTAATCGTGTATGTCGATAAATTTTTGAACCACTATTATTCTCATAAATTATTATTTTTATTTGTTGTGTATACATGTATACATACATATATATATATATATATATACATATATATATATATATATATACATATATATATATACATATATATATACATATATATATATATATAATACTAGTTTTTAGAAAATCTTAGTTTTCTTAATAAAGCATGTAGATCAAATCAAGAAATGAATTTGTAAGTTAAAAATATAAACAATTTATATTTCTACCATAACTTACTGAGTCTATAAAATAAGAAGCTTAAAATTAACACAATGTAGCATAGTAGTAATAAGGGGGTATTCTCATGAAGTCACTCCTAAAAGAAGAAAAATTGAAACATAACAT